AGGAAATGTCGGCTGAGGAATTGTCTCCATCAGATTGAACTATGGACAAGTCTGTGGGGGCATTCCTCCTGATTAATGATTGATATGGGAGGGTCCATCCCACTGTTTGTGGTACCACTCCTGGGCAGGTGGTCCTGTGTTGTATAAGAAAGTGGGATGAGCAAGCCATGTAGAACAAGCCAGAGAGCACCTGGAGCACATTCCTCCATGGCCTCTGCTTCCGTTCCTGCCTTGGCCTCCCTCTGTACTACAGTGTTGTCTGTAAGACAAAGAAACCCTTTCTTCCCCGAGTTGCTTTGGCCTCATTTTTTTTTTTTTTTAATCACAGCATTAAGAAGCAAACTAGGATAGTAGGGTCCCGTGGCAGTTTGAGTTCTTCTTGAGGAATGGCCCATCTCTTTTCCAAAGAGGCCTCCCCGTTTTCACCGACACTGACAGTGCACGCCATGTGATTTCCAGTGTGTTCAGTGATATAGAGATTGCCAGCCTGCACCTTCTCCACCACGGCTCCTGGTACCAACCTCTTTCTTCAGGCCTGTGCCAGTCAGCTCCCCATCACTCTAACAAGTACCCCAGGTGATTAGAGAGGTACCTCTCTTGTATGGGGAGAGGTTCACTTTGGCTCACAGCTTGCTTTGGGGGCTTCTGGTAGTATACATGCATGCATGCATGCATGGTGGAGTCAAAAATGCCATACACTTCACGGGTGGGAAGAAAAAGAGGGAGAGGATGGGACTGGGGTTCCACTGTCCTCGAGGACGCAACCCAAGTGTCATGCTACTGGGTCTCATCTCTTGAACGTTTTACCCCCTCCAAATAACAGTGCCCCCCAGGGACCAAGGTTTTCACACAGAGACCTTTGGAAGACACTGGAGATCTGAACCATGACAAGACTTCCCTTACATATGTCCTAGATCCAACTGTAAGGCTGTCTGGTGGCTCCACCTTTGAAACATGTCCCGAACCTGCCTCGTTCCTAGTGCCCTGGGATCACTCTAGGCCAAGCTCCTAGCATCTCTCCCCTGTGTGATTGCTTCACCCACTCCAAAGATTTGAACTTTATATGTATACTCAAGCCCTTGAATGCCTTGAGGGGTGCTATTAAATCTTAAGTCACACCATGACCCTCCTCTGCTCAGAACTCACTAGTTCCTTCTCAGAGAGATGAAAGGCAACATCATCATCTTGACCCCAAGGATGGCACATTAGAACCTATTGTCCCCTTTAAACACTGCCATTAGTGCTTCCCTTATAACCTTTCTGCTCTATAAGCAGCTCCTGCCTCAGGCCTTAGCATATGTTCACCCTTTCATAGCTCCCACCCCTTACCTACTTGGAATCCTATCCGCCCCGGCAGAGTACGTCTTCCCCAGTTGGAGGATCAGTTGCCTCTTGCATGAAACCTCAGAATATGCTAACGCACCAGAAGTCGCACACTTATGACTCCTGTTTTAGTGGCTTCCCCGTGGTTGCCACAGCAAGTGGAACCGTGGCATGTTGCTTTCCGTCTGCCTTTTGTTGTTGTTGTTCACAAATGATTTATGTCTTTTATTGGCGTACGAGTTTTAAAGCAACCCTTATACCACATCATCTGTGAACCTCATACATGACCCGAGCCACACGGGGCTGGAGACCTGGTTTTCCAATGCTCATCACAAAGTAGTACTTGATTGTTTTGCTTTGCACGAGCATACTGTTGTAAATACAAACTCACAGCTTCAAAGGGGAAAATTACCTCTAGCAGGCATCAGTGGGATTTGAATGTTTTCAAGCCCAGTGATGTTGGAGCCCCTACGGTTCCAGGTACGGTAATAGACGATACCTCCTGCTAGACCAAGAAGTCCTGGCCCTGGAGCTTAATGTGGGCATGTATAGCAAGTGTCTAGGCTGTGATGGAGTCTGTCTTTGCAGATGAGCCTGGTTTTATTCCATGTCAGTCTTGAAGGCTGATAGCTCAGCCTAAGATGCCACATGTACCATTCCCACTCACATGCTGGTAACTGCTTTGCTGAAGGACTCCTTCAAACTGCAGCTTTCCTGGGCCAGTCAGTATTGAAAACAAAGCTTTTCCATATCTTCCCATGAAGCTGTTGCCCAGCCTCCCGAGGCTAAGGGGGGAAGGATGCATAATGGCTTGCTGTTAGGCCTGTCTCTCTGTGGGCTGTGTTACCAGGCACCACTGAAACAATCCCACTTGGATCCAGAAGGCTTTTGTTGGAGGTTCAAAGCGTGCAAACTCTGAAGGTTTGTGGTTCCTTTGTACGTGCTGGGGGGTGGGATATCTGTGGGGGAGAGTTGAAGTCCTGGCAAAGAAGTCACTTTTGAAGTCACTGCAGTGCTGTTTGAGCTGCTTCCAATAGTGTGCTGTTCAAAGTGTCATTACGAAGTCTAGAAATACATTAAGAAGCAAAAGTCACCCAAGATCCTGCCACCAGCTAACCCACAGTGTACTTGTGATGTATTTATTCTAGATTATTCCTTGTATTGTGGCATGAAAGAATTTGGGGGGGGGTTGATAGAACTGCTTTGTGGTGGGGCTCACAACACATCTGCCAGGACACTTTGAAAGGGCAAAGTTAACATTTTGCTCATTAAGAGGACAGCAATTTGCTCACGAATCTGCGATGCAGGGAGGCTTGGTGGAGACTGCTTCTGCTCTGTGTAGTGGCAGCTAGTATCTTACAGACCTGGGGTCTGACAGTGGCGGTTGCCTGGGCGCTGTCGGAACAGCTTACGTGACCCTCGTGTGGCCGTCCGTACTGGTTGACAATGTGGAGGCTCTGTCTGTAGGCCCCAAACAAGACAGCAGCAGGGTGTGTAGGAGCTGACTTCACAAGTCACATGGTATACTACTTCCTAGGAACTTTATTGGCCGAGGTGGTCACACACATTTGTCTGACCCACTGGATGGGAGGAGTATTGGCCACGCAAAGGAGGAAGAGCATATCTTCAGAAAACACAGTACCACTGATCCCTAAGCCCTGTTCTTGGAGAATTATCCCTGAAGGCCTGGAGTGAAACCTCAGAATATTATTAACATATTATTATGATTAACATGTTGTTGCTAACATTACTATTAAGCTGGGAATTTAACCAGGGCCTGACACATGCTGGGCAAGCTCTTCACCATTGAGCTATATCTTCTTTTCACTTTTTATTTTGAGACAGAGTGTCCCTAAACTGCCCAGGCTGGTCTTGAACGCATGTTGTGGCCCAAGATAGCCGTGAACTTGTGATTCTCTTGCCTCAGTCTCTTAAGTAGATGGGATGAAGGCCTGTGCCAGCCAGCCCAGCACAATCTTATTTTTGATGCATTCTAGGTAACATTGATGTGCATTTAGGATGGGCTTTGGCCCTTTGGCCTCTCACCCTGAGCCTGTGGAGTATGGCTGCTCTCTTAGGTAATGTAATCAAAGGCAGTTTGAACTCTGTTGCCAGACTACATGATCATGTCTCTCCTCTCTCCACCTCTATATCTATATCTGTATCTGTATCTATATCTGTATCTGTATCTACATCTACATCTGTATCTGTATCTATATCTATAGATATATCTATATCTGTATCTGTATCTATATCTATATCTTACACACACACTTCCTGGGAGGGACCTGCCCAGTTTACAGTTTAACTGTGCCTTACTGTTGAGGCTCCTCCACTTGTCAGGAGCTGATATCTGATGATGTGAAAGAGTAAAGCTAGACTTCAAGTGGGTTTTGTGGTGGGCCATAAAATCTTGACACTCAGTAAGACTTGTTCCTGATTTTCTTCTGGCTCTCTACTATTTAATTAAGGAAGTAGTTGCTATTCACAAGTATCTTGAGATGAAAAGAAAGGATAAAGATGTTTAAATCTGATACAGAGCCGAATTTCCCAATTGGCTCTTCATTATACGGGCTTATAGGTTCTTGGAAATCTGAGTCCTCCAGACCTCTGCACCAGTAGCATATATTTGTTTGTGCACTGGACTGGCTGGGCTTGTGTGTCAACTTGACACAAGCTAGAGTCATCAGAGAGGAAGGAGGCTCAGTTGAGGAAATGCCTCCATATGATCCAGCTGCAAGGCATTTTCTCAAGTAGTGATCAATAGGGAAGGGCACACTCCATGAGGGTGGTGCCGTCCCTGGGCTGGTGGTCCTGGGCTCTATAAGAAAGCAGGCTGAGCAAGTCATGTGAGCAAGCCAGTAAGCAGCCCCCCTCCGTGGTCTCTGCATCAGCTCTTGTCTCTAGGATCCTGCCCTGTTTGAGTTCCTTTCCAGGCTTCCTTCAGTGATGCACAGCAATGCTGAAGCACAAGCCAAATAAACCCTTTCCTCCTCAACTTGCTCTTTGGTCATGATGTTTCATCGCAGCAATAGGAACTCTAAGGAGACATCACTTAATAAAAGTAACTGTTTAAATTAAATATGAAAGGACCCTTCAGTGGGAAGTCAGAGTCAGGGTGATAGGTGGAACCCGGGAACCAGGATCCTGTGTCTGCTCCTGAGGGATGGTACTGACCAGCTGTCTCGCTTCATGATGTCTTTAGGAGCGGCTGTATCTCAGTAGCTTTGTGTTCTTCCAGCCCCGTGTGCATTTTCAACATGTCTTGGTTCACGGAGTGCAATCTCCGGGATGCTGGAGGTATGGGCAAGGTGAACAGGCTTTCTAAAAGGGGGCGTGCTGCCCTTCAGTGTGGACCCTTACAGTTTTTCTTGAGGTTCAGGTTTTATCTTGATTTAACCTGAGGGTTCCATGCAGTATGCAGTATTCTGGAATGTACCATCTCATCTGGTGACCTAGGAGAGTATGCTCTGGGAGGCGTGGGACCGGCTTCCAGCTCCAGCTCGGCTGAGGGTCTGCTCTTTTGCTCAAATTAGGTCATAGTTCAACTTCAAACTACTTTTCTCAGCAACCCAGGGTCTGTGGGTGGAGCCTTGTGTCCAGTTTTCTTTCCTAAACTGGCTGGTAAGTGGGAACACTCCCTCCCTAGAAAACCCACCCCCCCCCCGCCCGTTGTGCTAGTTGTTGCTGCCTGCCCTTTGGGGCTGTGCACCCAAAGCCACCCTGCTGTCCATCAGTTTCTGTGAACTTGCCACGAGCCTTCACCCGGCTAGGCCCTGTATACGCCGTTTCTTCTGCACCGGCTCTCTTGCTTTCACCAATCCGCCTGGCTTTGGCTACCTCTTGGAGTCCATCCCTGTTCGATCCAGCCAGTCCACTGTGGGTTGTTCCTCTCTGGCTCAGGCCGCTTGGTGTATTGTGGTCTTCCGGGTCAGGGCCAGCAGTTGAGGGGGTGCTTACCCAGGGTGCTTCAGTGTGGGTGGGTTTTGTCAGAGGAGTGTGGGCATTGGTGGCCAGGAGTCTACAGATCTCAGGCCAGTGCTGTAACGTACTTGCAGTGGGTAGAATACTTCACCCTTCCAAGACTGTACCCTTATCTCGGGGGTGGGGGTGGGGAACACGGCAGAATTTTCACGATATTTTCAGGACATCAGCCCCAGAAGCAGAAAATCTAACGACGGAGTTTTGGGGTCTGAGTATGTAGAGACAGACCATCACTTTAGCTTTATTTAAGCGTGGGAGGCGAGAGTGGGTGGAGCTGTAGAAAGGATCCAGCAGGGTCAGGCGGTCAGGCGCATAATAGGAATGGAGCTCCCGGTGAGAGTTTTTTAAATATTGGGTCAATGAAGGAATGGGTGAAGGCAATCGCTTTCTGAATCGGCCTTTCACCTTTTGGACTGGTCTGGTGCACCCAGGCTGCGCAGAGGCTGTGTCGCGAGAAATCTCTCTTTATATGTCTGCCGGCTTGCATAGTGAGCTCCTTGAAAAGCTCTGACTCCCTCAGAAGACCTCGAAGAAGGTTCCCAGAGCCTGCAGGCTGGAGCCGAACTCAGCTGGGGGAAGGAAGCCCCGCCCCCCAGCCGTGGGCTGAGGTCTCCTGGCAACCGCCTAACAAAGTCCCTTTGGGATCAGCTACCTTTAGCGCCTGCGCCCAGCTTCCCTGATCAGAGTGGCTGCAACTGTGCAGCAGGTGCAGGAGCCCACAGGTGTGCCTACTCACAGGTAACCCATGAGCGTAGGTTCAGCCTCCGTTTCACCTCAGACGCCCCAGGTCCCCCAGGCGCTGACTTCCTGGCAGCCAGAGTTCGGTAGCTTGAAACCTGAGTGATGTCTGAGTCAGAGCTCTCTCTGTGCCTTGCCTCAGGGCATCTTGCTGGGGTCCAGTGTGTACTGTGCCGGCTCACTTCCCCTTCCTGCAAGTGGCAGCTGTCTGTTCTATGCTGGGCCCACCTCCAGGACTCTGCCTCAGCCTCTTGAGAGAGTCAGGTCTCCCACCTTCCCGTGCCTCCCGGGTCAGCGGTGAACTAGCTCACCTAGATCTGGATGCCAAGAGCACCCACTGACCAACTCCTGTTTTCTGAGAGAGGAGTTGCTGGGCTCAGGTCAGAGGAATATCGCTGCTCGTCACTGTCAGCTGCCTCTCTCTGGCTTCTTCACCCACTGCTTCTCCTTAACTACGAAGCACTCACTGTATAAGTAGGCCTCCACTGAAGCCTGGGACATTGGAAACAAGACAGAGATGGGACCCGGAGGATGGGCCTTCCTGCACTGGGCGCGTTTACTCCTGAGGTCTTTGCTGTCTCCCACCAGGGCCGTTCTGGTGTTGTACAAGATGTCCCTGCGGGCCTGGGAATGGGAGGAAGAGGGGAGAGCAAGCATGGATCCTGCCTCCTCCATGGCTAGTGCTTACCAGTCAGCAAGCGAGTTTGAGGAGACGGAGGAGTACCTGAAATCCAGGACCCCAGCTCAGGAGTGGGACTCTGAGGACCAGTTCAGCAGCCTGCATTCCTCAGAAGGGCCTGTCTGCACCTATAACTCTGATGTGCCCCAGGTTGTCCCCTGCAGATTCATTATCTCTCTGGCCTTCCCCGCAATAACGGGTAGGTGCTGAAGCCCAGCTTTACTCAACTTCTGCACACAGCAGGACACTACTTGGCTTCCTCTGGGAGTTAGTGAGTGCTCATATCTTGCCTCCTTCCTCTCCACCAAGTCCCCTCCCATGGTAGAGTGGCTGGTGTCAACTGAGGCAGAGGTCAGAAAAAGAACAGAAAATTCAGGGGACCCAGCTATTGGCTAGGCAAGAAAGTGATTGTGTGACTCACTCAGCACACTCAGGGGCCCCAAGAAGCAGGTCATATTCATATTCCTTCTCTCTCTCTCTCTCTCTCTCTCTCTCTCTCTCTCTCTCTCTCTCTCTCTCTCAGTGTGTGTTTGTGTGTGTGTGTGTGTGTGTGTGTGTGTGTGTGTGTGTATTTGAGACAGGGTCTCACTATGTAGCTCTGGCTAGATTCAGAGATCCACCTGCCTCTTGAGTGCTGGGATTAAAGGCATGGGCCACTATGCCCAGCCTAGACATTCCTTTATATACATTTTTGTGCATATGTGTGGTCACTTCTGTATCCCTAATTCCAAGAGGTAGAATTGTTGTTTTGAAGGTATGCACTAAAATTGTTTAATGGATGTTGTCAAATTGTCCTTGAAAGGGTTATAATATTTTGCCCTCCCAGTAACAGAAAATGGAAGTTCTATTTGCACACACACCCCCCC